TTGATTATTTCTACACCATTTTCATTGCTTTCCTCTATTGGGAATTTACTTAATATGCATAGCGGAAAATAAATTATTTTTCAATTCCCACTAAGGATCTGCTTTGTGTTTAGATATAAACTATGTGTAAAATAATATCTTTGATGAATTCTGCGAACTCCTTTGCTGATTCTCGAACACGAACAATCCTGAACTGCAATTCACAGCTGTTCAGTTGTCTAGTATCCAATGAAAATCCACACAGGGAACAATAATGAAAACTAGAGTTTCACTATCTTTTCTTGTGCTAGCAAGAATAATAATAATAATGATGTATATATTTTCAAACCCTAATAGCCTATTAATAGAAGTTCAAGTGGGTTGGCCCGTCTCTTAAACTTAATTAGGTCCAACATTTAATTAATCCTATTAATTAAATTTGGTCCATGAATCAATTAATCCAATTAATTAATTCGGGCCCATTAATAAGCAACCCAATTAATTAATTATCCAACACTTGTTACTTAATTCATTGGTGAATCTCATTCTTCTGGCTCTCCTTTTGTGTGTGACCCATCAGGTTCTCGATCACGATATCTAACGGCGTGAATTATTATTTAATCTAATCAAAATTGATAAATTAAAATACCCAATTTTAATTTATCATCAATCCACATTCGTCGTCCTAGATTGACATCTAGTAATCTGTCAGGACAATACATATGACCGGAAATGTCACGTGGTATGACAAAATCAAATTAGTTCGTTTACCGTGAAACTATAATCACTTCATCAATATGATCCGATCAATTACGAGATGTAAATGTGCATCAATCTCAATTATTGAACATATCTTTCATCCCACTATTAAGTCAATATAAGTCGAAAACTCATTTTCGACTAATGATTACACTTTGGCCAATGATTTCATTATCAACTTAACTGAGTAAAATGTAGATCTATCTCTTACTATCCAAGAGTGACGAATTCTCTATTGATCATTTATATGAATGTAAAATACACATT